AGGACACACTGTAGGTGTCTTGATAAAACAATTTCCACATAGTTGCATGTATCTCTTGACTCTGAGGATGGTCATCTTAAAAACTGCAGTTACATACAGGACAAATCTTAGGAGAAACAACATGCTTTGAAATCTGTCTCATACTGTAATTGTACCTTTGAATCAAAATACTTTAAAAGAATACTGTATCTTTTGAGCAGACTCTAATTAGAAATCAAGGCCTTAGTTTTATTTTCAGTTCATCAGTAAAGGTGTGTGGCTGAAAACAGGATAGCTGTAAAAATATTTTTTTTTTTAATCCAGGGAGCAACTCACAGTAACAATGCTTTCTATTTCTGGTTGGAGTAGTTTCTTAATTTTGGTTTGCAGCTGAAATAAAAATGTTTTCCTATTAAAGTAATAAAAATACACCATTATTTATTGTGCCTAATCCTGTATATGTAAACAAGAGGTCTTGAGGACTGTTAAAATGCATGGATGCTCATCTACCAGCCTTGGCAGACCTGGAATAGTGTCAGGAGAAACACAGGGTGTAGTAAAGGCATTCTGAAGTGAAATACAGGTTTTTGAGAATCTTGCTGTTTTCCAGTAGCTATGATTTGACTCACATTTTTCTCTAACAGTACTTGAAGTCCTACTTCATGCTTACAGTAGTAGGAAATACATTACCAAAGAAACCATCCCCGAACACCAAGAAGGTAAACACTGGTGATACAAAAATATATATATATATGTGCACATATACAAAATTGTTTTGGTGCTTCTCTGCCTTAATTTCATGATCCTTTGTCCTCAATTATTTGGTTTGAGCATGGTTGTATGCTCCCTCGGGCCTTTTAAAAAAGTTCAGCTCCAAGTTCTGCTGTGTAGATTGTGCTAACCTCTAATAATGCCTTTTCTTTGCTCTTTTTTTTTTTTTTAAATCTGAAAATGTCAGGTACTGTGAAGTGATAAGGGTACAAGCTTATAAAATACATGCCTGCCAGGTGGCCCTCTGAAAATTGAACAGATGTTCCTTGATGTGTTCTGAACCAACAAGTGGAGTACTTACCAGTGTGACACTGAGAACATCAGTGGATGAAAAATTCTAGGTAGCTGTAGCTACTAGCATACCATCTGTGTTTGTGGGTGCAGAACTCTGAACTTGGACAGCTAAATTAGTAATGCTTAAATGCCAGGATAAAGTTCTTGTTTAACAAGCAAGTTCAAATGTGTCTATCCATATGGATATATAAATATCCTAAATATGTCAAACATGGAAAACATATTTTCTCTTAATTTGCATCCTCATGTGCATTAGGTTTATGTAATGTAAAACCTGTTTTAAAGAATGACATGGAAAATGGAATTCCTTGGGAAAACAATATCTGTTTTTAAGTAAGTCATATTCTGTTTTAGTGCACTAAACCCTAAATGGAGAGAAATGTGGATGAATGGGATGTCTCATGTGAATGCTGCAGGCTTTGGGATCCTGTAATTACTTGTATCACTCTTTCAAACTATGTTCTGCTGATAGCTTAGTCACCTTAGCCATAAGTGGGAGAAAGCTCCTGTAAACACAGTCCCCAGTTTTGCTTTTTTTTTTCATTCCTCCTCCTCTTCTGTTGTCCATCTTTCAGCACAAAGCTAAAGATATTTCAGGTGTTCTATAATGACTCCCCAGTCAGTGGCAATAGAACCACTTTTAAAGCTTACCTGTTTAAAAAAGCAAGCAAACAAATTAACCCATGAAAACCCCACCAGCTTTGGTCAGGCAAGAAGGTATAGACTGTACAATAACAGCATAGTTTCTGTGGCCTGGGATGCCTTTCAGAATAAAAGTATAAACCTTCAGATGGCCTTGACTGCCATAAACTGTTTAACTGCAGCAATTCTTAGCAGTGTTTTATAACCATATGTCTGCATCTGTCCTGAAGCTGCAATAGCTGTATTACTCACTGAATTTGTGTGTTTTGAGCAGTTGCTCACAACAGGCTTCAACACACCAAGGGTTGTTCCTGGTGTTTCATGCAATGACATCTTGACATGCATGGTGATAGCAGACACTTTGATGGAATATTGGCTTGGCTATAACTTTTATTAGTAAGTGTGGACAGAAGGTCAGGCCAGCTGTAGTGTACTAAACCAATCATGATGGATACTTTCCCAAAAGCAAGATTTATCAAGTAAGCAAAGTGATATTTGATCACCTGTCTAATAATGACACTATATGGCAAACCAGTATGAACAGGAATACTCGGTGTCAAAGTCACCCTTTTTCCATGCACTCAGATCTTGTGCTATATTTATCAAATTAAGTTGATACAGTCTAACTATATTTTTATAGATAAGTGTTTAAGAGTAGTGTGTTTCAGTGTAGGTTTATGTGTTACACATGTAGGTGAGCATGTTACGTGACACAGAGCTGACTGTACAGGTGCATATAAAACTTCACCTTCACGATCCCTTTATAATATGAAAAATTGCATGGGTATACAAGTTTACAACAGAAATCTTAAATCTTTTCTCTCACGTATAAGCCCATTTTCCTATCTAACATATTTCGTACCTAACATTACATCACAGGTAAAAAGTGATAGGATGAGAGGAAGCAGCCTCAAGTTGCACCAGGGGAGGTTTAAATTGGATGTTGGGGAAAACCGTTCTCATAGAAGGGGTTGTCAGGCATTAGAACAATCTGCCCAGGGAAGCAGTGCACTCAGCATGCCTGGAGGTGTTTAAAAAAATACGGATATGGCACTTAAGGACATGGGTTAATGGTGGACATGGTGGTGATGCTACCTTAGTGGTTGGTGATCTTAGAGGTTTTTCCAATCTTAACAATTCTATGATCTTGTATCTGTAACAACATTTCTTGGAGGAATTGGAATTTATGTGAAATGTTAATACACTGCTAAACACAGGGCTGATCAGCTACTTTGACTTCAGGTGCTGATACAACTTGACAAAAAAATCTTCCATTGGATGGTATTCTGGATTGTGTACATTATCAAGTCACCATTTCAGTAGTTTAGGAATTAGTTTTACTAGGAATTTTGCCTTGGAAAAAAAAAATATACCTATTCTACATAATGATGCATTTTTGGCTTGCATTCTTTAAACATGGCATGAGTATCGATTAAATACTGTAGCTGTTAATGATTGGTCTTTCCCAATTTGCTACTAAATTTTTTTTACTTCTGTTCAGGAAGGAGACCCTTTTTAAAGTAATGAGTTATGTGTCTGGAACACTGTTTAAGGGTGGTAAGAATTTTGCCGTTATAAGAGTCTTGAATTGCAGTTGAAGAGGAGATGACTTTTCGCATGGCTGTTTGATTCTGCACATTCACAAAACTTACATGCAGAAATTAATCTCATGTCTTCATGCTCTAGTTTTTTTCTTAATGTATCCAATAAAATTCTTATTACATGCTGATTGCATTTGGGGTTTGTGTTTGACTCCTTTTGTTATGGGTGCGAACTTCCCTGTTAGTTTGAAGCATGGTTGTTGAAGTAAAACATAAGTGGATATTTTCCACATATAGGTCTATATAGGAAGGAAACTGCATTGCCAAGGGGTTTTTCTCACCTTTCTTTGCTTGTTGCTTGTAGTTCCTTTCTTTGCTTGTTGCTTTCTAAAACTACACTTTTGAGCTGTCACAAACTTAACGGAAGTGGAATAATCCAGATGCAGTGGCTGTTTCTAAAGTTGCTGAAGGTACTGTTGCTTTGATTTTTTTTTCTGGTTTCTTAGAAAAAGAAGATAACTTTCCAAAACCTCTGGCATTCACTCAGTGTAGAAAAGGGTTCACCTCTTGTAGCCTGATATCTTCTATGGTAATAAATACTTGCGCTTTTCCCAAAGTTTGTGTTGATGTTTTGACCAGAGGGTAACCAAGGTATTGTCACAGACATTACAAACTAATCCACAGGCAAATGAGTGTTAAGCAAAAAATGGAAGCAGGCTTTTGAATAAAATAATGTTGTTACCTACTAGAAAGAAGTATTTGAAGAATTAGTTCCTTGTTAAATTTTAAAGCTGCGTTGCAACAAAATTCATTTAAAGCTACCTAGAGGCAGATCTTTTAACTTACAATGATCTATGAAATATTTTTAGTCCAGAAACCTTGTTCTCTGAAATGTGATTTAAACCTATGATAAATATTGATACTGCAATATTATTGCTGAATTCCATGCTTGGGAGAAAACTAACCTAATGTACTTCTGGCCTAATGTGCTTAACCTAATTTGTTCCTCCTTAATTGGAAATCAGGCTTGTGTATAACAAGGCAGAGTTGATGCAGTGAGCTTTTATACCCCAAGGGACTTAATTTAGGGGTTTTTTTAAGGGAATGCCTTGTAATCAGGTTATATCATTATGTACATAAACTACCCAGATTTTAAATATTCTGCCCATAGTGAAAGCAGTTAACATTTGGAGTGTCAACTCATGTTCAAAACCTACAGTAAAGAGGTAGTTTAAGTTCTTTAACTGCAGCTTTGTAAACTGGAAGCTTGTAGGCTCTTCTGTTACCAGAGTTTTACTTTACTGGATAACTTAAGTGGGATGCTTGTGCTTTCCAAGAGCAATTAACAGCTGTAAAGAAGAGAAGGTTGGTAAAATGAATGTAAGACATTGAAATGTAGCTGAAAATAAGCTTTTAAGAAAAATATTTGTTGTATTGTGCTTTTTGTTTTATCAGTGAGTCTATGGTTTGATTTGTGATTTAGTGCTTTTCCTGGTGCTGGTTTTTTCTTTTGTCTCCACCCTTTTCCCAGAAATGTTGTCAGCTAGTTTCCAGTTTCTATTTCTCCAAACTTTACCCATTTCCTAAAACTGTTTTTCTTCCTTGGAAGTTTATTGGTTCGCTCCTGTTATTCCCCACCTGGGTTTTTACTCCCAACTCTCCTGATTTGTTGGAAGTTGGGTCTGCCCCTGCCTTTCCCCTGAGATATAAGTCTTTGTCGGCCCCTTAGTGGGGGCCCAGGAAGAAAGAGGGGAAGAAACACCATCAAATAAAGTTTCCCTGGGACCCCTGTGCGCTGCCTGTGTTTTATACTGCGCCAAAACAACTGACAACTGGGATTCAAGGAGCTCCAGGGGGAAAAACTGCCGCCCCTCACTCTCAACATCAGCTAGCCGGGGAAGCGAAGTGGCAAATATTGTCACATATTTGTTGTTGAAAAATAATTCAGAGAAGATGTGCTAAGGATGATACAAATGAACAACTCCCAACAGCTGAGCTTGACAGTGTTTTATGCTTTTCTCACATACCTTTTTAAGGGTCCACCTCCTTGCTGTGTGAGCATTAGTCAGTGCTTCTTTTGCTGTTATTTTTCCTCAGCAACATTTTACTTTCCAAAACAGCCACTTAAATTTGTTGCATTTATAATTAAACAGTTGTATTGGCACACCTTGACTGAAGACTTGGGTATGGTTGGGACTTCTACAGTGAAAAGTGGCCAAAAATTCAGTGTGGTTTAGTAATAATACCCAAATGCTGAGTGCATAAATCTTAAGCTAAACCATGTGTAATTTTTAATGAGTTTTTGTATTTTACAGTTGTATTATATAATGCACATATGTTTTTCCTTAAACTGCCCCATAAGGGTACTTCAATAAGCATAACTATAAGGAGTGCGTTGCAACCTGCGGCGTTGTACGTCCTCCCTTTTCCTCCATGCGTTGCAGGTGTTCTTCACTGAAGTTTGAAGTGTAGATTTGTGCAGAGTGAGCAGTAGCTGTTAGAGAGCTGATAGATTTTGCCAGAGGTTCTCCATATTCTGGTAATTGTGTTTTAGTACGAAACAAAGTGTAATGCTGCCTGAGAGGCAAGTGCCAAGTCCTGCAGTTGCAATCTGAATCCTATACAAATATCTGGTTCTCAGGTAGGTTGTTTTTTATCAGACTGCAGGTGACAAGAATGGTATTTGCAAAACCAAAATCTTGGTTGAATTGCTCACGCAGGCTGAATTGGGTGAGCAGAGTAGTTTGAAAATACAGAAAGAAAAGCCTGATTAATTTCATCCATTTCTCAGGTTTACAGGATTGGACACTTAAGTGTGCATATGACTATGGATAAACACCTGTCCTTAATGATTTTTCTTTAAAAAACTTGGGACGTCCCCCATGTAGTCCCCAGATGCTGATCTCTGCTGAGAGTCCAATGAACACAGGATTCCTGTGGCTGGTAGCATGGCAGAAGCTTCATTCCAGCTCTGCAGGGTCCCAGAACCTGCCAGGCTTGCTTTGTCTGAACTTCTTTAAACCTGCCTGCAGTTTTGTTCTAGCTTGTTTGGCTGTTAAAACTTTTCTCATGTCCGAGTGGCTGTTGTCTGACTTGGTTTTACCTTGTTTCTCATTCTGTAGTTGCTTGTAGACATTTTTTTTTTTTTTATATAACTACTAAAACTAAAGCAGGTTTACTGTGTAGAGCAACATACTGCTGACTCTAGTGCCATGTCACGGAGGGATACATGCAGGGGCCTTGAAAACTGAGGTATGGGATGTGGTGTAGAGGACTACTGATACAGGATGATTGGAGAAGGGGCACTGCTGGATAGCAGAGATCCCAGGAAGAGAAACAGCTCATAAATGTAACTGCTTTTCCATTGAAAGGTTTGTACTACAATTTCTTTTTTTTTTTTCTTTAATCATAGAGACTAATCATTCTTCAATCACACAGTTAAGATTTCGAGCATACCAACAATGAACCTGTCTTTACTTACAAAGTGTGTTTCTTCCTGCCTGTAAGACTGGCAGGATGCTTATGTGTGACTCCTCTGCCATGGCATTGGACGACACTATGACTGCTGGCAGTACCCACACTGCTGTAAGGGTAGTGCCAGCATAATACGGCGTGTGCTGCAGACTGAAGAGAGCTTTAGTGCAGGAAGGTGGCGTCCAGGCACGCAGGCTCTGGTGTAGAGTGTGAAAATATGGCTTAGGAGACAGAGCTGAGAAAACAAAAGCAATGCTTCAGTAGGGGGGTGGTGGTTCCAGAAATATCTGAAGGGATGAGTGACCTCAGATCTAAATCTTTCAGTGCTCAGTGTTCACAGCTGGCCATGTTTCCTCTGCGTGATCTGCTTCTTACGGGTTACATAAGGGTGTGTTGTCACAACAGTCACTGTGTCCAGCACTGTGACTTGGGTTTCCTTCTAAAAGTGCAACCAAGTTTGGAAGTGATGTGGATGGCAGCATCAGGAACACGTCAGCTGAACTGTCAGCAGGCTAGCAAAGCACATCTGGGGAAGGTGCCATGTAAACTTAGCAAGTCTATTCTTATCCAATACCGTGCTGTGAAATGCTTTTCTATTATTGCCTCTGCTGTTCTTTCCCTTAATGAAAGGTTGGAACATGTTTGGAGTTTAATTGAACCAGGTCCAGCTCCTCCTGCATGAGGTGCCTAACAAAGCACTCTTATTCCTCCTCTTAGAAACCTTGAGCTCCCCAAGCTGAAGAAGATGTTTAAGGGTGCAGAATCCATTAGGAGAAGCACTGTTGATCTGACAGGAGCATCCTTGACCTTATGGATTCTAATTGGCACAAGTCTCAGTGGTGCAATGGGAACAATCTTCTACCTTAACAAAGACTGCTTGCTAAATTCAGCTCCTGCTGGTTTCTCTAAGGACACTTTATATGAGCAGGTGCTGTTTGAGGAACAGAGCACTTTGGTTCTGCTCTGAACAGCAGAAGAAAGATTTCTGTGTTTCATTTAATTAGTGTTGTCTTCAAAGCACTGCCATAGGGAAGTTCATGATTTTCACCATCATTCAGCTTTTTCAATAGCACTGTTAACTGTACACTGAAATCCTATGAATAAAACTAAGGGAATTTAGAAAGGAAAAAACCAGGTTGTGCATGTCCAATTTCTACCAGCTGCAGAGAGGGTCCCCAGATGAGTCTGACAGAGTGTCACCTGGAGATTCAAGCATTAGGGTTACAGATTTCTTTCCAAAGGCAAGCCAAAGGTATTTCAACCATAAGAGAATCTTAATCATAGGCTCAAACAAAGGTTGAAAGGGATCTTTAAAGGCTATCCAGTCAAATCCCATTGCCATCTTCAGCTAGATCAGGTTATTCAGGACTCTCACCCTGAATGTTTCCAGTGATGGGGTGTCTGCCATCAATCTGGGCAACTTGTTCTAGTGTTTCCTCATCTGCATTGTAAAAATCCTACTTGTATCTAATCTAAATTGACCCTTCTTCGATTTAAAACTATTACGTCTTGTACTAATGCAACAGGTCCTGCTAAAAAGTTTGTCTCCAAGCTGAAATAAAGTTCCAGGCACTGTCCCTTTGGAACTGATTTTCTAAAGAGACAATTGACAACCCAAATATCCAAGTGATACTTGATCCATCCAAGTTTAATTTTGCCAGATTTTTTTTGCAGCTCCAGTCTACTAGGCTGAAGGGTCGGTTTCTCCCATTTGTAGGATTTACTGATTGTTTCAGCCAGGCTGAGTGAAGAAACTGGGCAACTGGAATTGAGGAAGGACAGTGTTACCCATTTGTAAGAGTATGAAAAATTCCCTTCCCCCACTTTAAAATTATGGGAAGGCAGAGCTACACTTTGCACTGGGGGACAGCAACAGAGGCTTGTTTGCTTATCTACAGAACATAAGACTCTGCTCATTGAGGAAGGAAAGGCAATTGGAGATCTGAGTAACTGATCCTTTCAATACCAAGAATAAGGGATTTTGTGGAATTTAGTTAGCATAAGCCATTTTTAAGTGGTTTGGTTTCCTTATTTATAAGGGTTTGGATATCGCTCTTCCTCAGTAGAACTTTATAGACAGGGATGGAAATAGATTTAATATATTTTGTGTACTTCTCAGGATGTAGCTGGTCATGATGAATCTCACATTCACACAGTTATCAATTAAGTTGACAAGAGGAACAAAGCAATCAATGCCAGCTGTGCATGCAGCCTGCTGTGAGCTGTAATTTATTCTTACAGCTTCAAACTGCACAGGGAAGCAAGGAGAGATTGTATGTTCTTTTGCAGCAGCAAGGTAATAGTACAGAACCTCAAAGGTTAGCTACCACTGAAAAAATTACGTTTACTTGTGAAACATTTGTTCACTGGTTTATACATTTCTGTAAATGGAGGAAGAAGAAATTTTCATTAAATATTTCTTTGCAATGTGGAAACTCCTTGTTTGCCTTACACTCTGATGATCCTACAGCAGCAACCGCTGGCAGGTCCAAAGTTGGCTGTGGCTCAGAAGGACGGTGCACTAAAGGCTTTTTTCCACTATCTACATATCCTAACCCTCCCTTGGGAGCACATTCAGTACTGCCCATTGTAGCTAATGTAAAGTTATGATGGAGCAGGAAGGGCACATAATTGAGAGAAGGGGAAAAAAAAAAAAAAACCAGTGCAGTTATGTACCAGTCACATCACTGCAAGATTTCCTTAAGCAGTAAGTTCAGCTACAGATGTGGAGATGAAAACTGTGAATGTCCCCAGTTAAGTAAAAGTAAAGAGAACAACAAAAATGTAATTGCTGTTCATAGGATCATAGAACAGGTTTAGGCTGGAAGGGCCCCTAAAGATCCTCTAGTTCCAACACCCCTGCCATGGGCAGGGATGCCTTCCACTAGACCAGGTTGGTCAGAGTTCCATCCAGTCTGGTCCAGGGATGGGGTATCCACACCTTCTCTGGGCAACGTACCAGTGCCTCACCACCCTCACAGTAAAGAATTTTGTCTACTCTAAACCCACCTTCTTCCAGTTTGAAGCTATTCCTCCTTGTCCTGTCACTACGCACCCCTGTAAGCAGTCCCTCTTCAGCCTTCTTTAGCTATTGGAAGGCTGTAAATAAGGTTTTTCCAGAGCCTGCCCTTTCCTAGGCTGAACAGCCCTAGCCATCTCAGTCTTGTGCTCATGAGAGAGATACTCCACCCCTTTGATCATCTTCATAGCCTCCTCTGGACTTGCTCTAACAGGCCCACATGTTGGGGCCTCAGGGCTGGAAGCAGCATTCCAGGTGGAGCCTTGCCAGAGCAAAGGGCAAGAATCACCTGGTCTGTGCCCCAGCATCAGCTACTCTTGTCTCTTACGTGCTGACAAGGTCAGTTTTGCATTCCATTACCCAACAGAAGAGGTGCAGCATGGACTGTGGAAGTGTAATTTCCTCCTCAAGTGCCTAAGGCTTGATCTGTGAAAAGCAATTGAACAGTAAATTATGAGAACAGCATTCACAGGCACACAATCCTTCATCTTTCATGGAGGTGTATTGGAGGCGATGCCAGTAAAAGCCTCTCTTCTTGGTGGCATATATCCCCCAAAACAACTTCTCACAAGTTATTTCTGGTTCTCTTGTCTGAATTCAAGGCATCTGAGATGAGAACAACAACTCTGTCCTGCTTTTCTAATTCTGTCCTTTTTAGGGCCACATCTGTTCTATTCCCCATAAAACAAAAATAATTTTTTTCCCACAACATGGTACAATTTATGGTAGTGACAAAAACTGTAGTATATTTTACATAAGAGATGAAATTGGTTAATGTCAGTTTCCACAAGATGGAATGTGATTCAGTAAAATTCTAGCACTTTTATTCATTTTAAAGCATGTAGATGAGAATTACACCTAAAGGGCAAATGAAGCAAGAAATTTTTAATTTTTTTTTTCTTTTTATACGAACTAAACAGTTTTGTACAACTGGCCTTCTCATGCATTTCAGTTCCTCTTTGAATATAAAATCAGCTCCTGATGGGAAACATTCTTCAGGTCTTACTTGAAGACAGAATTATCTCAAGCTCCATGCTAATAGTAACAGTACCCTCCAGCTCCTTCAGATGGAAAAAATATGAAAGAGATTGCCTGGGAAAAAACAGGAACAAAAGCGGCCCTGGGCTCAGAACTAGAGAAAGTGCCAAAAAGCGCAGAGAGGTCAGCTTTTGGTTACCCCCCAAAATCTTTATTTTCCAAAGTGCAAGTAAAAGAGTGAGATGCATAGAGACTTTCAGAGGGATGGATGTGCACTCCACTGAGAGCATGCTTTTGGATTTCAGCTGTTTTCCTTGATTATCAAGAATGGCTAGTACTGCTTTGGCAATCAGTAGGAGAGTCACTTATTTATTTTTTCAGGGAAAAGAAAGCAAATCAGTGTAAAGAGCATTCACCAGTCCTGCAGAATAGATTCTGAACTGCAGAGATGCCTTTGGTGTCTCCTATTATAAAAGTAATTATCAGAACAAGAAAAAGGTACAGGCTGAGTATTGCATTTTTTCCATCAAAATGTGTGCTATTGATCACTGCTGTGGACAAATTTGCAGGTAGTTTGGCAAATAATTGTTTTCATAACTGTACATGCAAAACACTGGGTCCTCAAAGCTGGTAGATCTCTCGGAAAATTCTAATCAGAAACTGATTGTTCCTGCTTCCCCCTCTTCCCACTTCTCCCCAAATTTGCTTCCATCCAGAGCTGTTCATAAAGTTCTGTCAGTAGCAGAGATGCAGCAATCCCTGTCTCAGGAGTTCTCTGGCACACAGAGCTCTGCACACCTACCGTGTGGTTTGGGAGGCTGGAGACTGAGGCAGGGCAGGCAGTCGGGGACACTGGGACACTGCAGCAGCCTGACAGCTCTGTGTGCCACACTCTGCTCTGGGACTTTTCAAAGCCTTCATCTTATGCTACTTCCTTCAGTGTGTCTGCTGCTGCCTGCACAGTGAAGGCTGCAATGGAAATCTGCCTCTTCACTTCTTCCCAGGCTTCAAGTTGATCAGCTTTGCTTTCAATATCAAACATGGCATCATAGATTCCTGGGAAGGATTCTCCTGCATATTTGTTGTGGCTGCTTTGGGCCAAGATGACATGTCTGGGGGGAAAAAAAAAAAAAAAAAAAAAAAAGCAATTATCCTAAATAAAAGAAACTATTAATGGGGTGTGTGTTCATTGTACGTGTACTGTATGAAGCAGCTGTGAATCCCAGAAAGATCAGAACTCACTAAATACACAGGAAATTTGGCTTCAAAAGGACAGGAACAGTCCCAAGATCAAAATCTGTTGGAAAGGGCACAGATTTAGGTCAGATGGCCTTCTCCTTGGGAAGAGATGACACATTTGTCTAATTAAGAGCAAAACCATGTTACACTTTTTGAAAATGGGAGCTCAACAAACCTATCTAAGTAATTTGCCAGTCACGAACAGGGAATAAAACTACTTATAGGTGTGCTGTGAGAAATGGAGTAGAAACCTCAAAAACAGCTAAGTAGCTGCATGATGGTCAGCAGATTATTTACCTGGGAAAGGAATTTAAAAGGAGGGGAAAAAAATCTGTGGCTGAATTCTTGAGAAAAGCATGAATTATTGAGAAGAGAAGTCATCATATTGGATCAGAACTGCACAAAATATCAATCTTATTTTTTGGTATAGTTTTTTTTTTTTTTCCCTAAATAATGAATAGCTACAGATCTGCAATTAAATTTATTTTAACTATGAAGTATAAAAGCACATTTACAGTATGTGAAAGAGTCCTCCCAAATGAAAAGAAACATTAAAATTACATTAATAAATTCAAGCAAGTAAGAAATAATAATAAAATTTAAAAACCCCAGACAGCTCCAAATGATACCCAACACCCAACAAGAAAATTTCTAGAAAGAAATTACTTCATTCTTCTCAAAGTGTGAATGACAGTTTATCCTAGGAGGATGGAGGTGTGATTCTCAATTCTACCTGCCTGAAAGACTTGTGGCATGGCATGAAAGCCATCCATCAGTGAGTCAGACATATCCAGTTGATAGGAAGAGGCAGATACTGAAAGCAAAGTGAGATGCTTACACCCCTGACACTGAAAGTTGGCATCTTGTCAGGTATTCCTAATAAAAGCACTGGGATTCTAGAAAGAATATAGTAGTTAGTGGTTTAAGCTTTTTGGAGCTCCTATAGAAGCAGCCAAAACTGGGATAGAGGGGGCTCTGTAGCACAGCTCACAGACCTTTATCCTGTGCTGAAAGGTCCCTCCCTCTCCAAACTCTCCTTTCTTGGCTTCTCTCTTCAACTGACCCTCATTACACATCTGTTCTCATTTACTCTGCCCTCTTTTCACTTTTTTTTTTAAATACAGTTCATTCATTCTTCACTCAATCCTCACTTTACAGACAATCACAAGAGCAAGTTGTAACAGCAGTATTACTGCACATCTACAAATAAAAGTCAGAGTATAATGCTGTTGTGGTTTAACCACAGCTGATAGAAGGAGCCAAAAGAGAATTTGGCTCCACAAGTCTGGTGTAGCCAAGGAGTTCTCCTTAAGGGTTATAAACAAAATCCACTATTCATGTACTTAAAGCAATGTGTTGAACTGTAATTCCTGTGAGACCCATACAGCAATTCAACTGATTGGTCAGCTACAAAAATAGGGTGCCTTAGACAGCAGATCAAGAAACTTTTAGCCTCACCTGTAAAACTTCCTTCCTGGCAAGCCCAGAGGATCAGTGAAAGCTCTTTCTACCAACATCAGCTGATCGTTCATGATGCGCACTGCTACTGAACTGCAGGAGAGGGAGACAGAAATGTCACACAGCAGGGAAACATGACCTCCCAGTTTCATTTAAAACGCTTTTCTTCACCTTTTTTTTTTTTTTGACAGAAAAAGAAAAAAAGGCAAGTGTGGTCTACAGTTTACAAACAAAGGTGAGGTTTTGCAAATGGAGATTCTGAATCCATGTTATAATAATGAATTGATATTTCTGTGTTAGAGAACAACACTTCACACTATGCAAAATAAAATGGGAAACTTTCTGAGAGTGTCAGATACTTGCTTAATATTAAATGGCACTGGAAAGATGGCACTTAAGAGAATGGAGAAGAAGACTGAGATTTACACAGATGAAGATAGCTAAATTTTGGTGTCCACCTATAAGCCAAATGTCCATAGTCCTGTTCCAATCTATGCAGCAACATAGGATGGGATTCAGCTGCTTAAACACAACTGGTACCATATGTGGCCTGCAGTCACTGCACTCAGAGGGCACAGGAGTCCTGCAGTAGCCTTAAGCTGTCAAGCATCATACGGATATCTTGGATATTCTGAAGCATCATCCTCTGTCTTTGAAGTGTGCTGAAAGTAAAAATTCTGTCATCAGCTACAACACTCAGGTTAGGTGTCTAGAGATCTCAGTCCAAGTCTAACTTTCATTGCTACCTGCCTCTCCATGTATTGCAGTAATTTTAATGACAACCTGATACTAGTAATAAGCTCATACTATCAATCAAAGGAACATTCCTGTATCTGCTAATTCATCATTAAAGATACTACCTGTCTCAGGGTTCAGAGCTCTGTTATACACTCATCAGAGAGAATCCTTGTGCAGTAGAAGAAATAAAGAACTGCCACTCTGGGTACCTAAGGCCAACCAGGACATAAATGTATACATACATATATATATACACATACACACACATATATATATAAAACTCTTTTTTTCTTACTCTTTCTCGTCTACTTGTTCAAGTCTTCTGTGAAATTCAGCAGCAGCCTTTGAGAAGTTCTCCACAGCAGAAAAAAGAGGATCTAGGAATGGAAGAACATGAAAATCTTTGAAGTATTCAGTAAACCTAATATACTTTTCAGCTGCCCAGTGGGAGAACTACAATTTGCCTTGCTGATATAATAGCATTAATGTTATGAATAAAAATATACCTATTTTTATTTAAGGTTACAGAGCTAAAAACCGGTGGGACCAGTTGCTGTTAAATTAGCTTAATTGTAAAGAGTTCTTTAATTGCCCGTTAATGGTTGGTGATTTAGCCATTGTCCTCCCAATGCTTGCCCCGGAGCTACACCTGGACACGCAGCCCAGGAGAATAGGAGTGGCCTGGGACCACGTACGCAAATGAGAAATGCACCGCGCCAAAATTTTCCCGTTTTCCTAGAAAACCCCTAAAAACAACGAGCCAACACAGAATTAGGGGACCCTAAGTGATGTCTAAGGACGGGCGTGAAGTCCAGTGCCTGCTTGGATCCTTTTTGCTTCACACCCTGACCCCAAGAGATGTTCCATAAGGAGGGGACCCGAAGTGTTGGACTGAAAAACAGGAATCTGCCAATCTCCCGTGAGGACGCAGTCCCCAGCTCTGCCTGCAGACCAGCGGACAGAGCTGCATCACCCTCCTCCTCCGTGCCACTCTTGGGGACAGCGGCGGCGTGGGCGCGACCCGTCGATTTCTCCCCACCTGAGCTGAATCTCTTTAATAAAGGCATTGAAAAGGAGAAAGATCTCCTGCCCTATTTATGTCAATTAATTTTGTTATTTTTATGTAATTTATTGACTTCCCCACTGCAGACTTTAAAGAGCTGCACTACTGGCAAATACTTTTTGCAATGAGACCAACAGTAAAGCAGAGTGCTTGGGAAAGCTTTCACAACCATTCATCTTCCCTCTGCCTTGCAAGCAAAAAACTGGCTGTCATTGCACATTGAGAGCTCTGCAGTTCCCTGTTCAACAAATGTACCGCAGTGCTCAGGTATAAAAAGCCTGACTTCCATCAGAAATACCAGCTGTTCCAGAAGGCTGTGGAAGAACAGCAGGATGTTGCTTGAGGAGAAAGATGTCCCATTCACAGCACAACAGGAGAGTGTGATATGTGCATTGAGCAGCGTGAGGTGAGGCACAAAAGGCACAGCTGTCGTGGCACATAGGACAGACACAGCAGGTTAAAGCAGCCAAGTCCTGGCTGAAATTGCAGCACAGGAGGTGCCTATGCCATGTTCCTCCATGCTGTCCCCCAGCACTGCCTCTCAGATGCCAGGGGATTGCCTGACTGTGTGCAGGCAGGTGGGCAGGAATGCTGCTGCTTTTCCCAGCCCAGTACCTCCGAGACATGTGGAATAACTCAGAGAAGCAGCAGGCTTTCCTTTTAATGGCAGTAGCAGCTGTGATGTGGAAGGCTCTATTTCATACAGACCTGGGGAAAGTATTGATTTATGCAAGTAATTTTTGTAGAATAAATCACAGATGGATGTTACGACGCCAGCTTCTGGCCCCACCAAAACTCCACTGAATTAGAAAAAAAGACAGTTTAAAACTTGCAAATTTTGTCCACAAGTTTCAGAAAACTGGCTAAACCAGAGTATCCTCTCTTCAATTGTGCAGGAAGATGGGACATACGATTAGATCATCCCCTAAATCCAGTCCTCTGTTGACAACTATTATCCCTTCACTGTTTATAGATTTGTCATCCAATTTCACGTGACAGGCTTTCTGTTCCCAGGACTCCTATTGAAAGCTGTTCCTCAGACTCATTTGCTCTCCTATTTCTAGCAACTTATTTATTCATCACAAGCCTACACTTGCTTCATTTTTGTCTTATTGCTGTTGCTTGGTTGGTACAATTGGAAACACAGATTTTATGTATGCAAGCTGTTTACAGACTGCAGTTCAGAGGGACACATCACCTTGTGAGGGTGAGAATTCACACTTGTCCACAACCCTGTGGCAAGAGCTCGAAGTTTGCCAGGGGCAGAGTCCTGCCCTGCTGATATCATGACCATATCACAGCAACAGATTATATTTCAGAAGCAGTAGGAGGGGATTTAAGAGAGAGGAAAAAAAAAGACCATCTGAAAAATAATGTAAGAAACTTTGTGTTCGTGTTCACTAGCTCTTCAGTGTTGCCAATGTTGGTTATTTCAGAAAACATCACATTTTTTTTTTCTCCACTTGAAAACATTATTTCCTGATAGCATATGAGTACAAGCACAAATTTTATGAAAAAAAGGTTCCAGCCTTCATTGTTGCAGATGAACAGCTAAAATGTGAATCGACATGCAAATAAGAGCCTTAATCTATTATTTTAAAAAGGACAATTATATTATTTAGTCAGGCTTAATCAACAATTTTCTGACATTCAGTGTTGACAATAAGCAATTCTAGGAAAATGATGAGTTAAATGAACGTTAATTTTCGCAGCATTGTAAAACCTACCTATGTTATTTAATGTATTCTGGTGCAATACAATAAATAAAAAATTAGAAATTTTAGCTTCATTCCATAAATAATTTAAAATTCATCAGGCATCAGAGAAGAGCTATGAAAATAATGATAAGACTTAAAAACATGTCTTGTAAAAAAATAGTCAAAATGACACATTTATAAAGTTATTAAGGAGAGGTCTTATTTGGGTGAAAAAAAAACCAAACTAAAAATAGAAGATTGCTTCTAGATTCTAGGAATGAGAATAGATGCACTGGTCAGGAGGTAGTTTGTGCAACTTTTAATCTGAAAATGGATAGAAACTCAAACAATGAAAATAAATTATTTCACAGATATTTTTATAGATGTTCCACTACTGCAAAAAAAAAAAAAAAAAATTGATCTTACAAGACATGCTGCAGTAAACACTAGAACATATTGAAGTAACTCTTGGTGTTTTACAGAATCTCAGACCAGATGATCCATCACACAAGATGCCTCCTCTGTCTCAAGAGGTCTTTTTACAAAAAGAGGTGTTCTTTCAAAATAATCAACAATTTTTCACCAAAACCATTACATGACATTTCAAACATAATATTTAATTTCCCCCAAATGTCGGTTCAATTTGAGTTACTTACAATTTTTCACATACCCCAAACAAGGAGTGCATCTCCAAAAGGTGATTTGTATCTTTAAATAATGGGTTCATCAGATAGCAAGTGAATTAGGACTGACTGAAAAATCTCCTTTGTTCAGAAACACAAGGAGTGATCAAGGCAAGAAGGAAAAGGAAGGAAAAAAAAGGAGACTGAAAATGACTGTGGAAGCTATCCCAGCCTGGGATCCTGAGCACTCTGCTTTAGACCTGTTTTATGGGCTCCAGAGCAATGTGCTCAGGTGCTCACAAAATAGATGCATTCATGCAGGAGAGCTGGAGAAAATGCTCCTGTAGCTTAAAAATGGCAACCAGGCACTGAGGGAGATGGTGGAGCTCCCCAGGGTCAGATGAAGTTTTGCATGAAGAGGAATGGACACCTATGTCCCTCAATTTCAAAGCAGTTGTCAGAAGCACTTGACTTCTTTTTTAAGCAAGGAAGCGAGAATCAGGCTGAGATACCTCTTTGCCCTACATTTGAGGTCCTTGACTGCCCATGAGCACTGTAATAATGCCTGTAATTATTAATATGCACGAAAATTCTTATACCCCTTAGTAACTGGCCAGCACTGAAACCACCACACCCTCTTATCAAGACAATGATGTGTTAAACCTGTGTTGTGTTTAGGAAAAAAAAAAAAAAAAATAGAGGCTCTTTGCTATGATGGCAAAATTCAAACAGGAAAGAAAGGAATTAATTTGCAGAGCTATGACAGATGTAACATGTCCCTGCACGATTCTAATTAATACACATAATGCACAGTCCTGTGGCTGTTACTTACCAAATGATACTTTACAAAGTTTCAGCTGTTCTTCATGCTTCTTGGCTAATTTATAAATTCTGTTGCTGTATCCTTTTAAGGCTTCTCCGTAGTCTCTAGAGTCGAATGGAATGACCTGGGAATCTGCCAGTTCATAAACCAGTTTGCCTCGTAACTGGGCAATTGTTAGCTGTTTCTTGAAGGTGGGGTCATAAAATTTTTCCACTAGCTCAAATGTCTCATACACAGTGTGATAAACAGGATAATTGCTGAATTTGTCTTCTTTCTGGAAAAGAGCAAGCAAATTTGTCAATACCCTGTATTCTGACTGCAGTTAAAAGATGTATTGATCCCTTTATGACTCTGATGTTTTGTTTGGTTTCCAAATCAAAAAAGCTATTTGCTACAAAACACAATTTAATATCCTTCATTTGAGTGTGTTTGTATTAAAAAATTGAACCAGTCCGAATCTGTGGACTGTTGCACAGGATTAAGTGAGCAGGCTTCTTTCTCTCTACCAACACAGACCTGCCTTCAGTTTCATTGCACAGAGGTGGCCTTCTCCAAGAGTGAAAACAGTTTGGAGTTTGGATAGCAAAAGTCCTCAATCACAGCCCCTTTTTACCTTGTGTAGCTGTTTCTGAACACAGAAGATTTGTGTATTAAGGGGACTATTAATAGCATGGTGGAACAAACTATCCACCTTCAATCAGACTCTATAAATACCTCTCTGTGAACCTGACATCCTATAGAATATACACATTACTGTAACATGTTTTATTCTCCAAACATTTAGGTTTCTTGCTAAATTAAGAAACGTTGCTGTATACAAACCAGTCAAAGATGCTTTGAAACTTTTTTATTAATTATGAATAAATGCTTTTAACAGGATGACTGCTCAGCACTATCAAACTTCTTCAAGCACTTTGTCAGGCTTACCCTGTTCTTGGTGTAACGAGCTCTGCCTGATGCAATTCCCAGTCGCTGGAAGTAAGCTTCAAAATCACTGCCTGACCCCAGCTTATTTATTCTGCATGCAGAAAAGACATTATCTTAGTGAGAGCACTTACTGAACAGTATGGTAGTAATTTATGCAAAATGCAGATTTTTCAGAGAAATTGAGGTCAGTTCTTCTGAAGGGCACATCAGGGACACTAGCAAGATCAAAAACTAGATGAATGGCAAGCTTAATTACTTAACTGATTTTATTCCAACACTCTGATTCAGTATCCAATATTGCTAGGAAGATCTTTTAATTGTAGCAATCCTAATTATGGCAATGATGACATTAAAAATACAAACACTTTATGCGCAGGAGCCATAAAATTGTATCAGCCATGTCTCTGCCGTCTTAAAACATCAATCATCTATTTCCAAACTAATACGAACTGGGCAGCAGTATGTGTAAAGACAGATGTGTTTGCGTAGTTGGCACATTCCGCAGCAGAATCCAAGACCGATAAATAAATAATTCCCAGGGCGAAAGGCGCGGGCGGCGCTCGGCACCTGCGGGGCACCGCTGCCACCTGACGGGGAGCTGCGGCGTGGCAGGGGCGAGGAGACCGCAGAGACAGACACAGCATCCGAAGTATTTTCAAATATTTACGTTTGAAGTTAAGTTTCAGGTTTATATGTCTGGCCTGATGAATAATTAGTGTTTCTCAGCTAAAGAAAAAAAAAAATTCTTAGTGTACATTTCTTCAAGGAATGATGTGCATCAACTAAGAAAGATCAAATCTGGCTGCTTTTTCAAAAGGAAGAAATCTCAGTGGGTCAAATGAATCCAGAAACTCAGCAGAGCCAGAAACATGCAGAAGATTTTTGTCAAATCACAAAAGGGGGCAGTTCTGTTTACCTCATGTCAGTAACACCACTCTGTGAATAAGATTTAGCCTTTCTGAGTCACAGGTGGAAAGTGTGTTTTGGAGTTGTAATACCTTCAAATATGAAGTGTTAATAAACTCATATATAGACATGTAATGTAATACATTTACATTCTTTGTATAAACAAGAAATAATTATCTCAAGTTTTTCAATTACTGCTTTTTAATTACTGCTCTAGGCAGCTTCTCTCAACTGTTTGCTTATCCTAACAATTTTGATTTTATTTTATCTAGTATGTGACTAAACTATGTTTTGAACTCTTTCCCCTGCCTCCTTTTTTTTTTTTTTTTTGAATGCTTTTCAAGTTGCTTTTCTGCTAATAAAAAGGTCTTTAGAAAGTGTGAGGTTTCATTTCACCACAGGAATAATATCACCATCATTAAATAAAAATAATACAATCTCATTTTATTTTACTATTAAAAATATTGCTAGAAGGTCATCTTGTGCTAAAAGGTTTTGTATTGCTGCCATAAATAGCACATCTCAAAAAATTCTAATGAGTAGCCATGCCATGATATGATGAAAATATTGGGGTAAAAAGCCCCAAAACATATTAACAACTTACCTGGGATAGTTGTTATTTTCAGGTGCAGGATCTTTTTCAAGCCAGCTCTCATAAAGAGATTTATTTTCATAACCCTCATCAGGGCTTAAAATCTGGAGAGGGAAATATGATAATCTCATTGGAAGTACCTCTAATTCAATTCATTATCAAAGGAGATCTTTGCAGCTCCCTGCTTTGTTCTTAACCAGCAGTGCTGCTGCATGCAGGGAAGTGAATATTGGCATTTGTTGCACACATTTATGCATTCCCAAACAAGGAAAGCATCTCACAGACACTTGGAACCAACCACAGACAGTAGGAAAGAACAGGTTAAAAGGAGGAGCTCATCTACACCTGGAGCTCATCTACTACAGGGGGAATGTGCATGTACACACACAACAGCATATATAACACCATGGGACTCCTCCAGAAACTAGAACCTGCTTTCCTTTCAGCAGGCATGAGGAGATGACAACCACAAGCCTGTTTTGCCCTGAGGTCTGCCCTGCACAGTGGCAATATTCTCTCAACAAGGTTAAACCTAAAATTTGACTGCTTGTTCAGTAGGAAAGTTGCAAAAGAATTGTACTGGAAGGAAGGGTCCAAACCAGTCATATTGCAGCAGTTCCAATGGGACTCAACCAAGCCTGGAGAATCATTGTGCGAGACACTGTATGTACAAATGTAGGTCTCACCCTTACCTCAAAAAAAAAAAAAACCCAAAGCTCTGTAACCAGGATGGAAAAGGTAAGTACTAGTGCTGTCATCATGCTGCCAGCAAAACTATGAAAGACTATAAAATAAGTTGATGAAAGCTCTTAGGAAATCTGTGGCAGAGCAGAAATAAGTAAGACTCCCACCCTGGTCTCCACCTACACTTAAACAACCTTTAATAGACACAGTCCTTTAAGTATAAGATTGGTTATGATGTGCAAGAGGATTCAATATTTTTTTCCTCCAAATACAAAGCATAAATATTCATGGACACTTACATGGTTCCACCATGTTGTTGAGACTTAAATTTGGACTTGAAAAACATACAAACTCCAAATTGAAATTGCAAAGAGTTCTGACCTCTGAGATTCTGTCAGCAGCTAGCAGGAAAATAACAACTTTGTGAAATAACTGCTTGGCTGCTGTCATTTTCAGGGTACTCTGATCAAGTCCTGGGGCTAAAGTGAAAACTGCACATTAATAAGAGCAAGCTGAACTCTGACATATGGGAGCAAAAGCACTCTATGCTCTGGCAAAGATATTATTCTAACAGCTCTGGTCATGTAAAAAACATTGGTCAGCTTTTTCATACAACACTGAGAGCATAGTAAAACATATTTGCCCTGACTTAGATCCAAATCTAGCATCAGCATAAGCTTCCTGCTAACTCAAGAGAAGATGGAGAGTTCTCTAAGTATAAATGCAAAAGAAGAAGTGATAATCTCAGGGGAATTGGAGCTGAACTATTGCAGACACCATTTGGTGGTGACCAAATGTCTAAACCCTGGCAATAAAGCAGGGCCAAAAGACCGTCAACAGCTCAATGTCTCATCTGTAGCTAGAGCACACTTAAATGCAGAACTCCTGAAAGAAAACACTTCTTGTGTACACCAAACTTCTTTCTGGTGAGAACTGGCCCACTAAAAAACAAGAAGATCAAAGAGATCTCTGTTGGACATGTTGGACACCTTACTATGAAGAGAAATAATTTTCCTTTGGACAGGCATAATCAGGCTGCCAGGTTTTCTATTGTTTACATCATGCTTCTAATGTTAAAAGCTAAAATAACAGTGAATATGACATTTGTTTTTATAAATCACTCTCAAGTACTTTGCATGGTACTTTAATGGAAGTTTTCTACTCAAACCAGCAATAGCTGAATAGTTGACTTAAGATCAGAGCTAGGTACTATTTTTACCCCAGAGCACTTTTTTGTAACTTTGTTTATCTTTTACAGTGAAATGGCTTCCTGAGTTAGTGGTTTACTGCAGACAGAAAGTAAATTATTTTATCAAGGGCCCTGCAGCACTAAGGACACGAAAACTTTTATAGACAAAAGAGAATGCTCTTCAGTGCGCCAAGTGTCAGACCTAATATTTGAACAGCACAGCTTCATCCCTCTGCAAGGATGAAAGAGTAAGATAGCATTGATAGGAAAATAAAATGTAGAAAAGAGAAGAAAACCATGGGAATAGCACAGATAAACTTCCCCAGATCTAAAATATGGCATTTCAGCTGGCAAAAGTGTGCTGTGTTTGAAAATAACTTGGGATGAATGTATCTAGCAGGATGGGACATTGGTACCTGGATCATCCTACCAAGTGCTATTACAGGGCAGGTTTTTACACTGGACCAAGTGACCTGAGTTCCCTTAAGATTAGGGGAGGAAATAGTCTGAGTTCAGTACATACAAAGGTAGACAACTACATTTGGTCAAACAAATCTCATCCTAAAGGCACCAATTTCTACCCAATGCCTTTACAGGGAGCCTGTGCTGCTGAAGTCAGACAGAGCTGTCTTGTGTTCGTTGAGATGAATCCTCATCTGATGACAGAAACCTAATCTCATACGGAAAATAAAGTTCCATGCTTTAATGGATCACAACCCTTCAGCCTTATGATAATGGCTGAAAGTAAAGGAGTCATGGTTAGACCACTTGAAGTAATGCAAATCCACACATCGGACCTGTTAGAAAACCTTCTTAATCCTTCAATATTTATCACATATTTCAGGGGCTCAGTGAGATATGGAGGAGATTCAGGGAACAGGCAGAGAGAAAATGGTAGCTAGCCAATGTCAAAAATATTTCTCTTCAGTGTTTATAACTTTAGAGCATTGATCTTACTCAAGCATTTTTGCTTTTGTTATTATTATTTTTACTCTATATTTCAAATAAGATTCCACTTATGTCAATAACACATTTCAATCCTTTTAAGAATACTGAGGAACTGTGAGCATGGATTGTATATTGCTGATGGGATGTTTTGTTATTGATTTTGGTGGAATCAAGATTCTTCTAGCACAGCAATTAAAAAAATCTGGTATTATTCAATAGTCCAATTTTATCAAATAAACTTGGAGTCTTACTTATTTTTAGAAAGGCAGAAAAATAGATGGATTCTGTACCTCTTTTGTCAGATTATGCACCAGTCTGTAGAGAAGAGGGGTACAATCAACTCTTAATGTGTAGTTACCTGAAAATAAAACAAAAACATGGAAATTTTGCCTTCATGTACTAGTGGCATTATCTTCTTAATGGATTAAACCCTGCAGTCCTTTCTTAGATAAACTTTTTGACTGAGGCAAGAATTTATGTCTTGCCTCAGAATATATACAGCAATAGACTGCATGGTCTCACTTTGTAAGTTACTGCCACGACAAGGCAATAAAGTATTGGTTATAGTAAATCCACAGTAATGTAATTAAGCCTTCCCATAGCTCTAAAGTATGCCTAATTATCCCTCATTAGATACAAGCCCTTGTCACTCATATGCTTCCCAAAGCTTTGGTTGAACAGAAGGCAGAAAGTAAGATGATGGAAAAATACCAGATAATGTTAATGATGTTTCCAAGAAGAGTCTGTATGTGAAAACTGGAAAATCAAGCCACAAAAGTGCTCAAAACAATGACTTGCTTTGCTTATTTTCATTGCTATAGGACAATAAATAGAAGTAAGTTGCTGTCCAAAAAGTGGTAGAAGAAGTGTTGTGGAGAACATATGATGATAAACAAAATAATTTTCAGAGCACATGAATGCTATGAGTCTACAGGGGATTTTACTGCTCAGGTGAGAGATGTCCAAGATACTTAAGCCAGTGCACTCAATGTGGTGTTCTTTTCCTTATTACACACTTCTTTTCCAGTTGTTTTGCTTTCACATTTTCTTTAATGCATAAAGCAAGAGACATGTTTGAATAATCAAGATTTAGAAGAAAATTGTTAAGGCAGCAGCATGTTGGCTGCAAACCAAGTAAAAAAATATGTGTTACAATTCATGGTGAGAATATGAAGCAGTTGTAAAGCTATTATTTAATTTGTGAGATTTTCTAGGTGTGAAATTCTGCTCTACTTTTTACACAGCATGTAGGCAGCATAAATGAAGGAACAGCTCTAACCCTCCTTATTCCCCAGCTCCAACTCACCATTTAGAAACTAGGTTTGGCTTTTCTTTCTTTCCAATCCTTTTGTGACAGACAAAATTTTTAGCTAACAGGAATAAAGAGAGTTCCTAAATATGCCTGTAGATATCAATTTTATTCACACACAGAAAGCCCAAATAATTTGACTTGGGAAGAGTTATGTCCTGAGTAACTGAGGTTATGAAGCAGAGCAGCTTCACAGGACACTTCTGACTGTTATTTCAGCACAGAAAACAGCAAAAAAGGTCTTTCTGTAATAAGGTGCAGCATAATTTCAGAAGGATTTTGTGATATAGATCATGGTGTTGGGCTCTCTCTCAAAAAAAACAAGGCCCGTTTCTAAGCAGCATTCCTGAATGACAAATTCTTCTCATAATCTGAAGGACGCTGTAAATTGGATAATGGTGGATAAAGTTTTTTTGTGAAACACTTTTCAGTGCCTATTTTTTAAAAAAGTCCTGCTGTAATAAATATATAACCCCCTGCTCCTGACAATCAACAAAGGTGAGCACACTGGCTGAAAGCACCAAAGCATCTCCCACCCCCACAAAGTGTAAGCCTGAGGTCTTACCATCATAATAATTTACTGCCTCAAAATATTATAATTCCACAGGGAAAGGAGCTGGAGCTGTGACGAATAAGGAGCAGGCTGTCATATATTAAAACTACAATTGTAAATTAAAGTTAATGCAGTTAAGAGACAGTTTAACATACAGAATGCTCAGTTCATTAGCACAGAATAATAAACTCCTCCAGAAGGAGGCATTCTGGACTCAGACACATGGACTGCATCTCATGGACAGCACTACTTGCAAAAGAAAGCAACATGAAAACTTAAATTGTTCTCTCTCTCCTCTTAATTAGGTATTTGCTCCACTTACTCTGTACACCACAATACCTATCTCATGTAGTAAATAATTCACAGAGAACTAATAAAAATTACACCTGTAAAGCCAGGTAAAGTTTAAAATAAAAGACCCACCTTCTATAGAAGAATCTGCATTGATGTAAGCGACTGCCCGTTCCTGAAGGACTTTGGCATTTTCCTAGGGTTGTAAATGTATAATTCTTACTTCCAATTAGTGGCATTTAGTCAAGAGCATGTCAAGTGCACTGTTTTTTAGAGCATTATTGTTAAGATCTCAGTCAGGATAATTACTACTGTGTACCTTACTAATTATATTGTTTGCGGATGGGTAAATGTTCTGGGCATATAAAATTCATTGTTCCTTTCTGGGACTTAATTTGTTGTGGAAAACATCCACAAAGGGTATATGCTGCCTGCTGCATCAGACAAGGGCAAAATGGAGCAGGAAAATTACTGAATAGAATTGTAACACAGTAAAATTAGGGTATGACATGCATTTTAGCTCTGCACTTCAGGACTTTCTGAACATGCAGCATGTGACTGTGAGGTCAGCCAGAATTCCTCCACGCTTTTAATCCCGAGTTTTCCATATGTATTTCCAGCACTGAATTCAATTTTAACACTGATAAACCAAGCACTCCTGCCATATCTACCATCTTCCATTTCAAAATGGGATAAGTCAAAGCACTGAAATTTTCTGCTAAAATGCAGTTGACTGACTATTCTCAGTTCACTAAGCATTCCTATCATGGTAAATATATGCAGACATCTTGTTTATTTTTTTTATTCAAACTGGTAATTATCTTTGAAATTGATATTCTAATTAGTAAGTGGTATTTCACGAGATTTTGGCTTTGTGACAGATATTTTAATTAGGTTAGCAATTGTTACTTGATTCATTCAATTTATAACCCAACTAATAATTTGTAAGTCACGTGAACTAAAAATTTAATTGGTAATTGATAACTACATAATGAAATTAACATCATAAAAAAAAAACCAAAAAAAAACCAAACAGGAGAGGAGATCCTGCAAAAGAATATGATGGGAGGGAGCAAGACTGTACTTGCCAATATGGGGCCTTGCATATATGCAAAATCATATTTGCAGCATAAATAAATTCCTTTGTTCATGAGCAATGGAGATTGCTCATAATGCTCAATAGAGATTGCCTGTGTAGCAAAAGGATGTTGCCACAGCTGAATTCTTTCTGTTACACAGAAAATGGTGAATATCATGGGTTAATTTTCCTCAAGATTTAATACATGACAGATCTGGCAGCTGCAGAGAAGAGGAATGTAAGCTGTGAGGAATGTCTTTAGAGAAACTGAATCTAATTTAGGTCTAAAAGAGTAGTAATGCACACCACCAAGATAAAGCAAGGAAAAAATAATATTAAAAGACATGTTCAAATATGAACTGTGCTTAGAGTTTTCTAACCTTGTACAGCTGCCATTTCATGAAATAATGAATGATAGACTACTAGATACCAAATTATTACAGAAAACCCATTACAGAACAGCAGTAGCAATATTTAACAAATAGAACATAAGAAAACTCCCTAATTTATTATTGACTTGTTCAAGAGAAATTGATTTCTTAAGTATCATTTTTTTCATATTCCTCATAATGAAAACAACTGTGTGTTGTTTTGTTTTTTTTTTTTTCTTGACAGCACCTATATGTGTGCAGAGACACACAGACAAAGAAATCTCAAACAAATTTTTACATACAGCATATTTTTGCCACCAGCAGAGTTCAGGAGTTCAGGTGAGATGAAAATTTAATGCCAACAATGTAAAATTTCTCAGTAAATGATTTAAAATAATTTAAATTACTTTTTATTCATGTTTCATGAACCAGCAGTAAGATGAAGACATTGTTACAGCTGGAAGCCAAACAGTTTATGGGTGAAAAAAATAATGCAAATCTGAAGGAATAGAAATCTCAGCTTTGTTAACAGAAGAGTGATGGAATCCCCTTGGTGTTCGGAAGCATTTTTCTGGGTTTGTTACCTCCTCTGACATGTGCCATTTTGCTATGTAATTTTGTGATTTGCTGAAACATGCCAATAAACTAAACTAAAAAGATTTTTTTTTTATTTTATATATTCTGAAAGCTCTATCCACACAGCTAAATATTAACTTGTAAACAAAATTCTAATAGAAGAATAAGACAATGCATTTCTGTTTAAATATTCAGTACTAATAAATTGACATAGTTCAGCAGAAATGTGTTTCATCAGGCAATTTTCTTCCTGTTCTATTTCTAATTTGGATTTAATATACAAAGCAATGAAAACTCTCGTAAGACCTGTATTTGTTATTGGGGTTGAACAAATCCACTAAGAAGTGAACATGCCCAACAGGAAAAGGAACATACAAGTATTCAGAACCTCACTACTGAATTTCCCAACATTTCTACCTCAGGCAGGAAAAGGAAGATAAAAATAACATGCCCAATAGGAAAAAGAAGATAAAAATAGCCAGAACTTCACTTCTGAATTTGCCAACATTCTTCTTTCAGACAGGTATACAGTCAGGGATCCTCCTACACAATTAATTGACTGTTCTGCCCCTGAGACTCTACAATCCTGGAATTCACAGGCATTTTGTTCTATTCACTCATAGATTATCTATTCATTCATTTGCCCAGTAGGATTGATTTTCATACAAAGGCTTGGCATGCTTATGGATCAGAGGTTCAGAATCTGGACTTGAATTTACAGAAACAAAGGAATTTCTCAAATAGAAAGTTAGACCAATCTGGGTCAAATAAAATGCTATCATTCTGTTAAATGAGAAGATAAATTGCCACACAGAGACCACTGTGGGATATTAGCTTTGAATCAAAGTAGATTTTTAAATCTTAGAAGAGTTACTGCACTTATATTGCAAGAAGCTAGGTAGGTAGGTAATTTATATAAACACGTGAGTGCCTCACAACAACTGAAGGACTCTGTTGTACTCCAATTTTACCACAGAGTTTTTGATTGCAGTTTAAGAATAGATCCTGGCTACTGCAGTCACCTGCAACACACTTTCAAGTTTTGCTTTGCTTTACAGTTTTTTTTACTTACCTCAGCCCACTCTGTGGAACCCAATAATCCAAATTCTTCTGCATCCCAGCTAGCAAAAATAATAGTTCGCCTAGGTCTCCAACCTGCAATTACATAGTTAAACTTGACAATTGAACTTACACTTTAAAAGTCTACTGACCATACTTAAAGAAATTGCTTTAAAAACAGCACCTAACAGACATAACAGTAAAAAAAAATCCTCTCTAAAATCCTTAGGGTAACATATTGTTGCAGAGGCATTTCTTCTTAATGCAATATTTTTATTCTGCACAGCTAAGAGGGTACCAATACACTCACGAGGGAATAAATTCAACCAACTACCATGCAATGCCACATTTGCATCTCTCCAATGAACCTACAACTTTCATAATGAGAAATAAAACTTTCTGTAGAGGTGAAAAGTTAAATCAATACAACAGCTTATGGAAGCTTATGGAAGTTAAATCAATACAACAGCTTATGATCCTCAAAGCTGCTGTTTTCCATATCCATCATTTTACATCTGTGGTAAGTTACCTTCCATCTTCATTTTACCGAAACTCCGTACGATTTCTTGCAGAACAGCGGCACCGGTGGTTGGATCAATACCACCGAACACCCAAGAGTCTCTGTGACCACCTAAGATAATATATCTGTCTGGAAACAAACATACAGTATCAATTAATAATTTAAAATGCACTTGGATTAACTGTGATTTTCTTTGGCTTCATCTTTACTTGTATGAAATCAAATATGAAGTTCAATACCAGTGCTACAAGTTTATTTTTTAAGGGAATCTGCAATCATTCACTTACTCTGCTAAGGTCTGCAGGAAAAGACAATAAATATTTAATAAATATTTTCCATCTAAAAGCCTTTGTTGTGTGTGACCTGCTACAATAGTATAATGTATCAATAATATAATGTATCAATAGTATCAACAGTATAATCTTAAACATCCCAAATCATCACTAGCTTTCTGTAATTTGAATGATGTTAATTATTGCAAAGGCAAAATCTATGACTGATGTAAAGTGAAGCCTACTGTAAAGTGGCAGGCATTATAAAAAAATAAAAAAACATTCTCCCATGTCTATCACTATATTTTAAAGGGAATGCCATTCTTGGGAATGCCAATGACTAATAGTGTGATGGGAAGGACAGAAAAACTACTAAGAATTCCTCATGACTCTGTATTGTATGGTTATCTAAAACACTTTCTTACAACACAAGTACAATTTCAACAAATACAAAAGAAAGAAGGAATTAAAATCATGAAGCAACCTGATGCTCACCTGGTTCCAGAGCTCCTCTGAGGATGCCAATGACATTGTAAATTCGAGCGATTTTATTGCTTGTATGAACATGCATTCTGACTTTTCTGAAATGAAAGGGAGTGTGGAGCAACCATTTCTGATTAATAAGCCAATAAAGAGCCAATGTTAATACATATAAACCAGAGTTTGTGCTTCTGTCCTGCTTTGTGTTTTCAATACTGATCCCATGTGTGTTCAGCACTGCCATGCTGTCTCAGACACTCATTTTTTTATTTCAGTTTAGCCGGCTGCTGATGCCTTAGAAAACATCCTATGAGCTGGGCCAGTTTATAAATCTGCAAAGATTTAGAGAATTTATAGAACCTTTTTTTTTACAGGAACCAATCAGATAATTGTGTACTAGAAGAATAACCTGAAAAACATGCACAGGAATTAAAAATACATCTACCTTTTGACCAAAACTATAATTGTGGATATGTAAATGTTTATACAGAATACACTTTGGTTTTTTAGCACAGGTCCATGCAATAATATAGAACTTGGAGAAAAGGTCATTAGGAATATTCATCCAGGAATAAACTGAAATCTCTCTTTAGGACAGCAGATCTAAGGGATTAAGATTTGTCAGTCACAGAATCACAGAATGGTTTGGGTTGGCAGAGACCTTAAAGGTCATCTAGTTCCAACCTCCTGTCATGGGCAGGGAATCTTTAATTGAAGACAGAAAACCCTCTACTAGAAGCACAGTTTTTTTCCTCCCTGTCCCCCACCAGTAAAATCCACTTGTGAAATTTTATAAAAAACAAAGGGAATCCAGGTATTTGGAGAGATAAAACTAACACAGTGTTCAGCCCCCTTAAGCTGTGGAAGAAACAAAGCACCAAACAATGGGGGGGTTCTGTGTCTGGCAAAACCTCAGGAGATCCACATTTGAAGCTATCTTTTCAGCAGCAAATCTGCATAGCTGTCAAAATCAAAACCTACTTCAGGACAGCCACTGGATCTTTGCCCAGGAAGTAACAGAAACCAGTGCCTTGAACATGCATATATGTGCACACTTTCCATGTGCAAGTGACTTTCTACCTAGAATCAAAAGGTTCATTTTGATATGGAACTGCTATGAGAAAGATGTGTCGAATTAAGCCATATTTACAATTAAAAAAAAAAAAAAGTTACTCTATCAAGTAGGAAGATGTTAAAAAGTCTACTCAAAAATACAAGTTTTGTGGATGAATCATATTGTTTTCTCACTGTTGCTCTTCAAAACACTCCAAACAGCACTGTAATTATGTCAAATATGCTGTCTTATTTAGTTATTCCTACTTTATTCATTTTCAGCTAGTGAATAGTGATAAAGAATAATGATAAATGTTTATAAAATTATATATATACTCAGACATACACTTATTATCCAGGAGATGGGGTAGAGATAATGATATACCATTTTTACACACTGTTCATTGGGGTCCACTAACAGTCCTCATTGAATAATACCTCATGTAAACTGAAACTATATTTATGTGGAAAAGTCACAGAAAAGTGATCTTTAGCTTTATTGCAATTTATTGCCAAATGTCATTGTCATGCGGCTTGATCTGCTAATTTATGATCTTTTTCTAGTGCAATTTATTTTCAAATTCTAATAATTATCTCTAAATGTATCCCTAGCAGAAGGAAGTAAATATCTCCAGAGTATGTGTAGATGTGTAGATGCATTGCTCAGAGTCTTTTCCTCAGAGGGATTTTTTTTTTTGTAATACTATATAAACAGGCAAGTATTAAAACAGACCTTGTAGAAGAGTTGCCTGTGAATCCTGGCCCTATATTATAAGATACATTGAGACTTCCCTTCCAGCTGCTGTCTGGAGCTGCAGGTCCTCCCATTGCACTGTGAAGTGAAAACCAAGAAAATGCAGTTGACAATTAGGCTGAAACCTTAAATTCTCTTAATAATTATTGCAGCAAAACCTAGGTAGTTTCACAAAATTCTTAAAAGCATTATTGCAACAACAGAATGCTTTGAATTTTCCACATTTTCTGGAATAACTACATTACTACTACATTATTATTTCTGAATTACTTTCATTACTACAAAGAGTAGCAAATGTAAGTAACAGCATAGATTTTGCTGTCTTAATATGAAAAATTTGTCTGCACATTTGTCAGCCCTGACTTCTGGAGAGGCGGACAGATCTATACTCACCGCAGTAATACTTCTGCATCATGATATCCAATGGGATGAACCGGGATTTTGGGAATCCCTACACCTTCATTAACTTTGTACCTGAAAGTGTACTCTGAGAAACCAGAACAAAATGTTAAGTTTATGGTGTTCTTAGCAACTTTCACCAAACCAGAAGCATTTGAGCATAGCAGCCACGAGCATGCATGACTGCTTCTAGAAAACCAAACTGTAATGACAGAACCAGTAATGCATCTGCACTGCAGTGCAAAAGATGTCCCCACACTTGATGCAAGGCTAGATTTGCTGTCCAACCATGTTATAACATTTCCTCTAAGCTGGCTCTGGGGAAACCAAGCTGGTATGTGAGGTGAAGCTGGCACCTGTGCAGCTGCTTGACAAGCTGCAGAGGACATCCAGAGAGGCATTTCCCTGGGTTGAAGACATCAGCCAGCATCTCTGTGAGCCTGCTGAACCTGGCACACACAACCTCTCCTGGGTTTAGGTTGTCTTATGTCCCCAGCAGTAGCCACACAAGCCCATGAGCTTTCCAGAAGCATCCCTGTACAGCCATCCCATCAGCACTCAGCACTGGCAGGCATCTTAGTTCAGACCAAGTTTAGGATGCCAAGAAGGACAAGAGAAGCACATGATGCCAACTTTTGAAAGACCCCAAGCTGCTCTTATTTTTGCTATAGGAATTTTATTCCTCTTAAAAAGGATTTTAAACTGTTTTTTCCTGCCTGGAAGTTATGATCAGCAAGGAAACATCCCTCCAAGTAAAGCTATTAGCCCTCTTTGTTGGCAAAGTATAACCTTGTTTAAAATGCTCCTCTTGGGAACCACAGATATTTTAAAAAGGCTGTAAATTCTCAGCCATTTTCTGCTGCTTCACAATCTGTAAACCTACATGTCCTGCTTTTTTAAGTGTCACAAGGGTGGGACCATACAAAGAGTTTCCTAGAAACTTTATTCCACTGCCTAACTGAAAGCAGTTAGAATGACACAGACAGAACTTAGTGTGTCACTGTCATATTTTCTGAAAAATCCCTTTGCCAGGATTTCTTCCCCTGGGAAGCTGAAAAGCCTCAGAGAAAAATGAAAACAATAATTATCTGATTGCTTCTCCTGTTTTTGCTGCTTTGGAATGTGGTCCGGAGTTTGTTTACCAACTGGTCATTGTTTGATTGGTTTCATGTGAATTGTTTTAACTTAATGACCAATCACGTCCAGCTGTGTTGGGACTCTGGAAGAGGGAGTCAGGAGTTTTCATTATCATTCTTTCTAGCCTTCTGTCTGTATCCTTTCTCTATTCTTTAGTATAGTTTAGTATTGCATTCTTTAATATTATATAATATGATAAATAATAAATTAGCCTTCTAAGAACACAGTCAGATTCACTCATTCCTCCTTCATCCTGAGGACCCCAAAAACACACAGTTAGTGTGCAATAGAAAATTAACTATTGTCACTAAGAATTTCAAGCAGCTTTTTTCTGTGCATCTGTACTGAAAATAAATTAACTTCTAGTGCCTCACTTTCAGCAGCAGTTTATGAAGTACTTGATGGCCCAGGCTACAGAACTTGCACTCACCTTTTGCAGGATAACCTGGTGTTAGAGGGTCCCCAGCTCCATTCAAATTTAAAACATTCCCACGCTGGACTCCTCCACCTGGAAGGTTCCAGCCACCTGGATAAGCATCTACTCCTGGGGCACAGTAGTCAGCAGGGTCTGAGTAAAGTATGATCCCTTGGGCTCCTGCTAATATGGCATTTTTAACCTGTGAAATTATTTGGCTTTAAGATGAGGCTTTTTTTTTTTTTTTAATGCAGCAATGAATATGAACATGGAGATTTGCTTCCATGCACACATGTTTTTAGAAGACAAGTATGTGAAAGAGTTTAAAATTACCCCAGATTCAGCAGAAGAACCAAGCATAGTGAAACACAGTATGTTCATTATTTGTGTCAAACTTTTAGTCATAGCTCAAGGCTATGAAATGAAGAACAGAACATAAAAATGAGGCACAAAACCCGAACACCATCCCTACTGCCCCACTATCACCAATTTTGCCAGATTTATTGTCTAAAATCAGAAGAGATAGTTACTCAGTTTCTGTGCATCAGACTCCTTGTCAGAGTGCTGCTATTTCAAAGTACCACGGTTCTATGGATGGCACATATCAGAAGACTTGGCTCTACAAAATACTCAGTTCCCTGAACTATTCTCTTTCAAGAACTGCCTAGGGAGTTTGCAGTCGTCTCTGTCTCAGGAGTTTAATACATTCATCTGGTTTTATTGTTTTGAAAGTTATTCTTAGACTGTAGTCACAATGGATACATTGCACGCTTCCTTCTGCTCATATGTTCCAATGAACAGCCCTTACTAATTCCCTCAAGCTCTGCCATCAACAGTGTCTGACCCACAGAAGGAAAATTAAAACACAACCCTTACTTTGTTTCCTCTGAAGATCTTCCCATATCTGGCAATAACAATCTTTCCTGTACAGTTAATTCCCATTTCACGCTCCAGCTTAAAAAAATCTTCTGTACGGCCATAATTCACATACACCAGATCTCCCTGGGCAGAAAAGAAAAGCAGTGGTGTGGCAACTGGTCAGTCAACAAACAAAATACCCATTATCAGAAATAAAGTTTCATTCATTATGTATGACAGAGGATTTTCATTTTTTTTTTTCATTTCTACAAATGAGATCCAGTGCCCATAAAAACAATAGCAAAAAATATCCACAATGTTCTATAGGAAGCTTTGGTTCAAAATTCTGATTGGCTATTATCTTACACTTAACAGTCCTAAAAACAGGTTGGAAAATAAACCAGAGTACTTTGGTAAACTGATAAACATCTCTAGCTGTGACAAAGCAGTGGTATGCCTTATATACACAAACACTCACTACTATAACATTTCACTCATTTATGCAATGTGGTGTTGTCCCTGACCTGTTCCATAATGAAGTACCAGATTAAGTGAGGAACTTTTGTGGCCTTTGAAGGCATTCATTTAATCTAAAATGTCTTCCAACTTATATAACTATAATAATAGTGTTATTCTACTAAATGCTACTTCTACCTGTGCCTTAAGCTAGTCCTCTACATATCACTGAATAATATGGAGCAATCTGAGATGTATCCAAAATTTTCCAACAAAATAAAAACTTTTCATTTATTAAGTGATTCAGAGCTCTAGCAATTTGGGAAAGCTCTTTTTTTAGTCATAAAAGACTTCTAACCTTTGCATAATATGAGCCCTATCTGCGCTTAAGTGTTTTTTAATTAAGAAAAACGGTAATTAAAACTACTGCAACAAATATTTTGAGAAGTTGGAGCAATCTGTCCCAGAAAGTGTTTCAAAAAATAGGTAATAGTACCATTACATAATTTATTTTCTTACCTCTGGCACTCCTTGTGCTGAAAAAGCATTATATGGTGGTAGTATATCAGTAACACTTTCATAGCCCTGGGGAGGAGGTTCAAACAATGATGTATTGAAAACCTATCAAAAAAAATAACAGTAGTTTTTGGTCAAACATTCTAGGCACAAATTCATACACTAAGAAGATCTTAATTATAGTTTAAACTAAGGTCATGAGACAGCTATTCAGTTTCTGTGCATCAGAATCCTTGTCAAATAATTACTATTTCAAAATACTGCAGTCCTATGGATGAAAAGTATCAAAAGCCTTGGCTTTTGCCAAGTTAGCTTTGTCAGAAGTTTAAATTATAGTTTCCATTAATTGATAGCAAAAAATACAGTTTTGCCAAGTTAGCTTTGTCAGAAGTTTAAATTATAGTTTCCATTAATTGATAGCAAAAAATACAGTTTTGCCAAGTTAGCTTTGTCAGAAGTTTAAATTATAGTTTCCATGAATTGATAGCAAAAAATACAGTTCTAACTGGTACACATATGTTCAAACAAAAACACAGGTAGGGATCCAGAGCTGAAATTTTGCAATAGAATGCAGATATGAATACAAAGAGACAGATCACGTGTCAGAAGATGCCCCTCAGTCACTGCCTGAACCTAAGGAAAGAAGTAGCTTAAAACTGCCAAAAGATGGTGACAGAAAAAGACATCTGGTTCATCCATGCCATCCCAAGTGTCTTTTGTGGTTTCTCCCACCTGCATTATTATTCTCTTTATCTCTTGTCTAGTAATACTCCAGTTAAACATGCTGCCTTTCATCACTATGCATTGTAACACACATTGCTTTAAGGTGCATGTCCACCTTTTGGCACCTTGTGAGACTGTAGCTCAGACACTGTTACAGGGTTTCTGGAAGAAGTCCTTCATTCTTTCACCTCTAAGCTTGTGTTATCCCTGAGCACACATTCCTTACTTTCTACTCTGGCTCTTCATCCTTACCTATGTGCTATGATGCTGCGCTAGCAGTCCCACCTCCTCTCCTTGCTCAGGATCCTTGTCAGAATTTAATCTACTTCTTTATTTCCCCAGGTATTCAAAAGGGAGAAGATGTCTACAGACTGACTAGTTCATTAGTACTTCCAACACTAACTTAGGGGACACCACAGGAAGCCAGTGGGATCGGGTTCAGAGCAAAGGAAACATTAAATGGATAGTATCTCTGCAATTCCTTACCTCAGCATGCAGTGGAAAAAAATATTGTACAGATGTTCAAGCAGGGTTTGGATAGGTACTTGGAAGAGAGATGTAATGAGGGTCACTGACTGGATAAATCCTTGGAAAAGGTCTAATGAAGATTTTTCAAGAGACTAATTGTAGCACATTCAGAGAAGCCCTGAGCTGAAAACAGCTAGACACTGGAAGAACTGCATGCCTGAAATACATTTCTTTGTTATTAAAAGTCCCTGTGCATCCACTTAAAGCTGTTTATGGAAACAGGATATTAGCTTAGATGTATCCTTAAGCTGAACCCTTCTAACACCTTATGGTCTACTGGTGTTAACTGCAGCCTCTCCACACATCCTCAGTCTTCCGTATGAGGCACTCAGATCTCAGCCACTTTGCTGTGTTTTCTGCATAGCCTGGAAAACCATTTATAAATATGAATTCCCTTTGCACTGGATTATTTTTAATAATATAAAGCATATGCTGAGCTGAGTAGGTGAGAATACAGAGGATGACACTTTTTTAATAGGAAATCACTTGGAGGTTTTTTAGGTTTTACAGTAACATAATTTTGTCATTGAAAAGATCACCTCATTCCCTTGATCATCAATTAGTGAAATGTAGTTTGGCTGCTCTTCATTTGGGTATGAAAGAAGCACATCATAATCAACAAGTTCTGCTGAATCTAATCCAAATTCCTTCCACTGGGCTTGAATTTTTTTGGCAAGAAGAAGATTCTGTTCAGTTCCTGCGAGGTGAGGCAACTTGGTAAATGAACTAGAACAAAACAGAAAACCACTGGTAAGCAGCAAATGCAGAGAGATACAATACTGAAATAGGATCAGTGTGTATAAAGATAATCTTCAAGACACACAGCATGGACAGGAAGGTCTTAAAGCTTGAGCTGTAAAACATGATTGCTTATCAGATTCTGCATGAGGACATGACAAAATATACCCGGAGCAGAGGATCTTTCCTGAGGCCTTAAGATAAATCAACTGAACTTTTTTCTTTACATAACAGAAATAGCCACATCTACACAGAAGCAATTAAAATCAACATCAAAGATTCAGCAAAAGAATATTAGCAATACGCAAAAAGCAGAAATAAAGGTAGGAAAGCTACGCACTCAGAAAGGAGCCTTGCAGATAATTCTGGTATCTGATCATGGATTTGTACTGTTGTCACAGCGTGTCTTAATAAGTTTAACTTGAAAATCACTACATTAAATTATCTGCATAGGTTTGCTCTTTTTTCTTAATCAAAAGCCTGAATAACAAAACCTTCTTAACAACATTTACTTCCATATCAGATATAATACATGTTGATATATAACACAATATTGATAAATAGTCACAAACAGAATCCAGTCCCTCTGGGCTACCCCAGAGAAATCTGTGTACCATTTACTTGGCCCAGTGAATAAGTAAGGAATGGTGAAAGCTCATCAGTCATCCAGGTACTCTGCATCAGCTTCCAATTCCCAGCAGGCTACTTGTCCATGGCTGCCCCACAGATGTCAGATACCAGCAATTACCATTAATTAGTGGTAGCAAATACCATGATTAATATCACTTCAGCCTGCTGTTTCAGACTGTTTTCAACCCTTGTTCTGCAGTGTGCACTTCCTCAGCTTCCACAGGAGAATGATGTCCAAAGCCTTGTTAAAGTTAAGGTTGTCACAGCAACTATAATGTCTCCACTCATGCACATAGCCAGTCATTTCCTTACAGAGGGCAATATGCTGACCATACAAACAAATAGTAAATAGCTACTGACTCTTCCAAACTATATTTCTGTCCTTTGTGTGTTTGAAAACAGATTCCAAAAGGATGTTTTGTCACCCTTCCAGACCTAAAGCTGACCAGCTCAGAGCCTCTCCAGGCTGTCCTTATTAAAAGCAGGGCACAGAATCAGCCACATGGGGCCTCTTGCAATCACCAGAATTTCTCATCTACAGCAACACTGCAAACACAACATAAAGGTCTTTCCTGGCCCCAGGATTTGAATGCATCAAGATTCTCTAAGTAGACCACAACCTTTTGCCCTCTGCTGTTGTTGTTCCCTTTCTTTAAACTGTGAGGGTATGCACCAAAGTCTGGAAGCAACCTTTGACAAACTCTGTTGCTTGTTTGCCCCTTGCACTTTAATTCCCATTAGTATTTTAGGTACCTTTTAATTCTTTAAGTATACTGAATACTACATACGCCATCAGGAAAAACACATATGATTTTTTTTCCCAAATTTTCCTTTGAAAGCAGTTCAATCCTTTCCAGAGCTGTGATAAAATGCTAAGACCAAAGAGTCTGCATTTTCTGAGACTTGTAAGTTTTTTTTCTCCCCATTTCCTGATTTTTATTTGAATTTAGGCAAAAAAAATCCACAACCAGCATGAAGTATTTGGCCCATCACCAAAGCAAGCAGACAAATTAACCATTAATTAAGCAGACAAAGAAACCATTAATATCCCACAGCCAAGAGACTTTGGCCTAATTACAGAGCTATTTCATGCTATGTTGCCTAGACTCTCACGCAAACATAATTTTCAGGAACTCTCCAATCTACTGAAAGTAGTGAATACAAAATAAGATTAGGCCTGTAGACTTAAGCTTATTGATGTTAGGTATGAAACCTTTCGGGTTTAGAACACATGCATAGAAATCAAATTTGTCAGTAATCCTTTGATGTCCTTGATGCAACTGCTGACTTACATGCTGAATACAAACATTTGACTAACCAGACTGAGTATTTATTTACTCATATTTACTCATATTTATTTAATATGTGAATATATTTGTTCCTCTATAGAACATATAAATATACCAAATAATGTGGTTTTTTTTCATTTTCATGGAATGGGGGAAAAAAGGTAGTTTTATATCCCTAATATTTTAGATGTTTTTAAAGAACTGCATGGATGCACTATGATGCAAATAAGTATATTAACTAACATAATGGAAGCCTTAACTAACCATACACTCACACAGATCATGGACAGAGCCCTTAATCTCAGAAGATGGGGTATAATGGGATGTCAGAGCTCCCAGTTAACAACACATTATCCAGTATGGCCACACTAAAGGAATTTTAAGTTGCAAGTATACATACAACTCAGTGCCATGCAAATTTGTAGCATTAGTTTTTAATAGATTAATTTTCTACTTAGACTAGCTGCTCAAACTGAAAGTTTAAAGAGACACAGAACAGATGATCAGTCAGATATAATTCATGTCAATCATCATATCTCAGAGTAAAATCGTCTCAGTCTGAAAGAAAACAGTTATCTGAGTTTAGAGCTTCAGATACTTTCAGTGAAGATAAAAAAAAGGCACACTTCATTAAATCATAAAGATGGGAAATCATGAAGACTGATAAGCACTGGCAGTAATGCAGCTGGGGGAAGCACACTGGACAGCACAACCACCTCAAACAGGCAACTTCAAAAATGGGGAGTGGGGGAACAGAAGAGTTGTAAGCCTTTCTCTTCTTCCCTCAGTCTTTCAAACAAACTAAATACTTCCAAAGCATCTTAAAAGCTCTGCTTTCAGAGGTCCTTCCTTGGAGCTGACGTTACCACTTTCTGGCTTTTTTGACTGATAAAATTGTTCAAAAAATGATGCACAAGGCTTACCGAAGAAATTTCCTGATATTCTCTGCTTTCATTTCAGCCACAAGTTTCTGTCTCACATTTTGATGCACATCTGAAGAGTCGGGGTTTTTCTCAGTCAGTTTTGTAAACCATCCTGAAACACATTTGAGAAGTTTCCTACTTAGCAAGAATGTCCTCACACGTTTGAGCACAGGTGCAACCTGTGGTACTAAACAGTTAAAACCACAAGGATGAACAGGGCTTAGAGCACCCTCTGCCAGTGTCTAAGGGCCCTAAAAGTAAAATATAAAAAAATATAAAAACTTGTCTAAAAGTAAAATATATTTCATTGACTGAAATGCCTAAAAGTGACATAATTAAAAGAGTAAACCCTAAATCCCTGGTAAATCCCCTTTTTAAGGTAGACTCCTCATTAATTTTAAACTATAGTTTAAATTCTCAGTTAACTGTTTGTAGTGTGGGGTTCGAACTCCTGATACTCATGATGAAATTACTTTATTTAGCTTATGCATATATTTTTAAACAGATGTGTAAGCATATTTAAAGTGAAGGTCTAGGACTCAACAGCCACCCTGCCAGCATTGTAATAGTTACAGACTTGGGGAAGGGTGGGGTTGGTCTATTTAATAGCTAAAAGAATAAAGTTAACTGTCACCCAAGCCAGTTTTAAAATGTTTATTCAGTGGCCATAAATAGTAGAAGGAGAGGGTATATCAACTATATGAGTTTTTCTTAAGAAAAACAACAACAACAAAAATCCTTTTATTATTATAGCTAGACAATCCCAAAGTGGGAAGATTTTCATGAGACAAGCACATGTGCTGTCACTTGCACAGTATATATGACCTCTTACACTTAAATACAATTGTAGCAACTCTCTGAACTGAATAGTGATGCTTGATCAGACTAAAAGTCCATCTTGCCCAGTATCCTGGGCCAAAAGATGATGTTCAGGGAAATGTATAAGCATAGCACAAGCACCAGAAATTAGCAGCTCAGGGATCTCCAAAATTAAACTAATATTTTATATATTTAATAACCCTCATGGATTTTTCTTTCATCCTTTAGTGTTAGGTTTGTGTTACAACACAAATTCAAAAAGGACATGCAATTTTAATTTGAAATCAAATGCTGCAAGTGACTTCAGAAAAGAATCTCTAATGAAGTTCAATGTGCATAATGAAAACTTCAGTAACTTGGCTGTCAGTCAAACTCCTCCTCTACATTCTACCCTTAATTTCTAAAATAGCAACAGAATAGGAGCCTTTAAAAATATCTTCAGTAAAAAACAGGAAATAAAAATTAAAAAAAAAATCTGGGAGATCTTGCAGTCGCTGAAGTCTCAAACTCTCGTATTAATCTTTTCCCTTTGAATGCCTGGCTGCCTCTTTTGGGAAGCTGTCAGCTCCCCAGGGCTTGTCCTGAGCTGAAGCACAGAGCCGTTCTGTTCCTCGCTCCCTGAAGACTGAAACTGCTAGACAGAAAAGCTTAGAAAAGCAGCGGGACGGATACTCCATCATGCCCCTAAAGAGTACTATAATCTCCCTGCTGGTGAGTTAATCACAACGGGGGCTGCACACAAGTGTGTGCAGGGGAAGGAAGCTGGGGCTGAGCCCTGGGTCTCCGCACTCACCTGTAAGAAAGCCCAGCAAGAAGCAGCCGAGCAGCCCGGGGCACACGAGCCCCGCACGGAGGGCGGCCTTGCTCCTGCTCCCGGCCATTCGGTCAGCGCTGCCCCGCAGCCTGGCAGGCTCTGGGGGCTGGCAAACTCTGCCTTCCTCCTCCTTCTCCTCCTCCTCCTTCCACCCGCAGTCCCAGGGCTGTCCCTGCCTTCTTTGCTTCTCAGTTCTCATGCTGCCTAAGTAAGCAGCCTTAATCCCTGGGTGATGGTGATGAAATGGTTTTCCAGATGCAATTAAACTCTTCCATTTCCAGCAGACAGCCCCTGTGTAGCTGGGTGTGTATCTCTGTAACAAATATGTATCCAGGCTGTGCACCAATGTACATGTGGTATTTAAAATCCTAATTTATACTAATTAGCAGGATTTTTGGTTTTGAAAGTTCCTGATTTAGGCTTGTTCACAACTTGTTCCAGCAGAAGTGGCCAAGAGATGAAATTAAGGGAAAAATTATTTCCTCTTTACCAACGAAACGCTGAATTTCTTCCCTTTTTAATCTATGGTAACATTAATCCTTAGCAAGCAATGTATACTTAGAGCAGCTGAGAATATAATTTAGATTGGCCAGACATCATCCAATTTGAATCTAGGAAAAGTCGCAAATTTATTTCCAATATTCTCTAGCTACTTGCACTAAGATTACAAACTTCTTAAGATGAAGTATTCCTTGTCTAATTTAGTAAAATCCATTAGTATCTCATGGGGAAGGAAACAACTGCAGCCCACGGAATAGTCAAAAGATATCCTCACAGAACCACCACATTTTTCATAAACTCACTGACCTTGCACATCACTTCCTTCATGGCTACATGGAAGCCAAGACTGATCTTTCTGGAGCTGAGGACCTGCCCATTTGAGACCAGTTATATGGCTGAGGGCAGGAAAGCTTTTCTGGGAGCCTGGGCATTATTCCAAATTCCTACCACTCATTCCCAAAGCCCGAAGTAAAATATTGTTTGTGAAAGAAATGTCAGTACTTTGAGTATCAAAACTTTCTTAAATACATAATGATGAGTTGAAAATATTCAGAAAAAGCAGGAAAGACTCGTTAATGTCCTGATTACTTAAACTAGGGCTTTTCAGAGAAAAATTACACCAATTGGTATTCCACACCAGTCACAGCCACTATCTTAAGCACAGGGCTGGATGTCTTTGTTCAAATGATAAGCAGGTCCAGTCCTGTGATTTTTTTCCCTGTCATTTCCCAACTGCTCATAAACCATCACAAATTCTGAACAGCAATGACATTTCACTCTAGCATCTGAATTGACATATACAAACCAGATGGAATTCCACCTACAGAACTCACAAAGAATGAGCATATTGATGTATTATTAACATTTATACAGCACCACAGGTGTAGGACTGGCACATAATAGACAGTAAAGTGACAAGTGCTTTTGGAGATTGCTATCAAATTAGACCTCACATGATAATAACATCAGTGGAGGAAGAAGGTAAGAATAGCAACAGTGAGAATGTATGAAAAGCATTTATTTCTATGTGAATGTCTTTTTAAAGTGACAAGGGCATTAGCAATGCTGAGGCTGAACAACAAGCAGCAGCCAAATGGCTTCTACCACTTAAAATACACCCCTATCACTATTAGTTATTAGTTGTGACATGTCCTTACATGCCATGGATTAGCCACAGGTGGAGTATATTATGTTACAATTACATGCAAGTATAACATACAGTATAAATCTGTCTTCAATCACATGCCCTTCTCAACAAGACTGGGGCAGGAAGTAAAATGAAAAAGCTCATGGGTTGAAATGAACACAAATCACTTGATGATTACCATCATTACCATCATTAGCAACAGATTCCACTCAGGGAAAAGTAATTTATTACAAATTAAAAGAGACTTGGCTACTCAGAAACAAAGCCAAAAATTAAGACATCTTCTCCCACATTACAACCATTTTTTTCAGCCTAACCTTCTTTACTCGCAACCCCTTTGTACCATGGGGTTTCTCCATGCAACACAAGGGTCATCCTGGGATCAGGCCAGCTATCCTAGGGTATCTAAAGTGTGATAAGCACCTAACTTTAGGCACTTGAATTATTCTGCACTCCCTAACAGAAAAATAGCCAGTGTCACCTGGGAGCTCAGAGAGTGTCCTAAACTTCTAGATAGAGCAAACCTCTACAGGGCAGCATTTGTGTCCTGCTGTGGGGTAACAGCTACAGACCAGGTGAGACTTCACATATTTTTCAGTCCTCTGTAGTCTGGCTCTAATTGCTTCTGCACAGTAACTTCCTCCCTTTCTAAAATCTGTTCTCCCAGAGGTGCTGCAACCACCACTGATGGGCTCAGCCTTGCCCAGCAGCCATCTCGGAGCTGGTTTGCATTGGCTCTGTCAGATACAGGGGGAGCTTCCAGGGCTCCTCACAGAAGCCACCACTGTAGCCACTCACCATGAAAACATCACCACACAAACCCAATACAGATGGGGACAGACTTTTTAGTAGGGTCTGTTGCAATAGGTCAAGTCATGGTTTTAAACTAAAAGAGGGTAGATTCAGACTAGATATAAAGAATCTTTTTTTACAGTGAACGTACAGTGAGGGTGGTGAGTAACTAGTACAAGTTTCCCAGGGAGGTGGTGGATGTCCCATCCCTGGAAACATTCACAGTCATGTTGGACAGGACTCTGAGCCAGCTGGTCCAGTTGAAACTGTCCCTGCTCATTGCAGGGGTGAGAGGACTAGATGGTATTTGCAGGACCCTGCCAACCCAAATTGTTGTGTTGTATTTTATTCTATGAATCAGCTTGGTGCGCTGTGGAGGCTGGTGAAAAGAGTGACATTACTACACAAGAATTTTTGTTGTCCCCCTGGGATCATACCTGTTTTATGTACAAACATTTTGTATTGGCTTGCTAACAGGTTGCAAAAGTATCCCTGACTTATCTCACCTGCAAACTCCTTGGAAGAAAATCAGTATGTGAAGGCTGAGTAACTACCATTCACTCAGGTGAAACAGAAGCGAGATGAGGTTTTGTTGCATGTATACATATACACAAAGCCAAGTATAGCATGAAGTCTTACAAATGCTCCTCAGAATAACTGGAGTCAGAGAAAAATGATCCTGACATGTGAGATCCAAAATAAAGCACTGTCAGGAATGCAAAGTCACATATGTGAGAAGGTGGAAGAAGCTGCTCCAACACAAACCTCATCTTACTCTTAGCTGTTACTAATCATCTCATTTTGCACCCAAGGAGAGACCTCAGAGCTCTTCAGATGATCAGCAGCCCGAAAGACTCATCTTCCTTTGAGTCCTTTCTTGGCAGTATCAAGGTCACATCCATCAGCCACCCTGTTATTTTACATGAGGCTTTACCAGCTAGAACTAAGATATTACCAGTGTCAGCTACCTCTACGAGTTCATTGCTGATAATAGCTGACTATTTTACTCAATTTTGAAAACACACACTTCAGTCTAAGTTTAATCAAAGGTTTGAGGCTAAAAGGAGGTAAGACCAACCCAAAGTACTCAGAGAAACTATGCAAAACAAACTATGAAAAGATTACAGGGTAAAAGGACTCCTTGTCTTATAGCAGGTGAGAAAAAGCGTCCAAACCATAAACTCCCGAACACACAGTACTTCTTTAAATTAGTATCACTTTTAGAATTATCATGAAAATTATTAGTTACTGCATATGCCTCATGCTGAGTTCAGGAGTAGTGAGAATTGCTCATTCTGACAGTGAAAACAAGAGTGGTTCAGCTGAAGCTAGTAGTACTTGCAGGTAGCTACATATACTTTATCTACTTAAAACACATAAATCCATGGTAAACTAAAAAAGCTCAAAAAATATTTGGCAAGGATAGACATGTCAAATGCAAAACTAGCATGCATTTGTGTGTTGAATGCATAATTCTGCTATTCAGCCGATTAGTATAGCCAGTAATGGTACATGAAAAACAGAATGAACACCAGGGCTTGTAAACTGTAGGCTGTAGCTGTAGTAACTGGGCCCTAAAGCTTAATATCCTCAGCAGAAAGATACACTACTCTTGTGCTGTTTGACCTACTGCCTGGCCAAAGACTGAACTTGTGGCTTGAGAGATCAAGGGACCCTGATCTGTGGGAAAGACAGCTCTGGCAGGAAAAAACGGCAACAAGGGAATGCTCAACTGCAACTTCAAATCAGTAGTTTCCTTCTGACTCTGGCAGTTGCACAGTCCCCTGAACTCTCTCACGGCCTCTGCACTCTTTCTATCAGATTACAACAGTAGTAGATGTTGATCCTTTGAGTCTGAGTCTCTCTTATCTCGAGCTTCATAAGACCATTATCAGATTCCAACTAAATGTTTACACTGCCGGCAGCTGACAAGTGCAGCTTGCAAACTTTGACCCTTTCTTTCACAAGACAATGTACCCAGTGAGGCCAAGAGTATAAAGGACTGTGCATTGAACACAGGGACTGCGCACTTCACCTTAAGGACACTCCTCCTTGTCCTGTCATACATGTCCTTATAAAAAGTCTCCCTCCAGTCCTCTTTAGGTCCTTTTGTACTGGAAGGTGCTGTGAGGTCTCCATGGAGCTTTCTTTTCTCCATGCTGAACAGCCCCAGCTCTCCCAGCCTGTCTCCACAGCAGGGGTGCTCCAGGCCTGTGATTTAATGGTTCTCCTCTAGATTCCTTACACTGGGGCCCCAGAGCTGGACACAGCCCTGCAGGTGGGGCCTCTCGAGAGCAGACCAGAGGGGTAGAATCCCCTCCCTCCACCTGATGGCCACACTTCTCTTGGTGAAGCCCAGGATGCAGCTGGCTTTCTGGACCACAAGTGCACTTTGCCAGGTCATGATAAGCTTCTCATCCACGAACACCTCCAAGTCTTTCTCCTTAGGGCTAGTCTCCATCCATTCTCTGCCCAGCCTGAATTTGTGCTTGGAATTTCCCTGACCCAGGCACAGCACCTGGCACTTGGCCCCACTGAACTTCATGAGGTTCACACAAGCCTATGCCTCCAGCTTGCTGTCATTAGGAGAGAGAAAATTTCTTTTCCTGTATCCTGTTCCCTGCAGTGATGAGGGAACAGGCAACAGATTTTTTTTTTAATGGATGTTGCTGTAGTTTAAGACTGTAAGTACTTCCGGATTTTGTGTGGTCCTGGGCCAGGAC